TATATTATATTATATTATATTATATTATATTAATTATATTATATCATATCATATCATATCATATCATATCATATCATATTTCCTTTGATTGTGCACTTCTCAGAATAGTGCATGGCACTAACTGGGCAGTATACAAGTATACAAAATAAATAAGTAAATAAAATATTTTAAAAATAATCTCTTTTTCACTGATGTTTGAGGAGGAGATGCTTCTTGGATTCTGTTTGCTTACAATTAAAAGTAAGGCAACTCATGGCAAACTGGAATCACCACTTCTGCTTAGCAGCAGTTTGCCAAGGCTGCTGGAAATATCAGGCCCCAGTGAGTGCAAGGATTTGGAAGCTGGTAAGGGATATGGCCAAGACAATTGCTGTCAGTGATAGAAGAGCCAAACTATACCTTTTTTTAAAAAAACAGGTTTCATTTTTTGGGGCAATGTCCAATGTGTTGTGTGTCCTCCAGCGACGTTGCTGGAACCATATGTATTGGCTCTTGCCTTTCCACTGGACTATGTGATCAGAAGATGTGAATCCTAATTTGCAGCTCATTTGTCCAGTAGACCAACCAACTGATTCCATAGGGTCTGAGAGATATTGCTGTGCCCTTAATCCCCAATTCACCCTTTTGGCAGTTATATGGACCTATTGAGCTACAAGTTTATAAGCCTCATTTTGCAGTATTGTCACCATGTTCATCTGAAAAGAATGAACAAAATTGGTGGTCATGTTTTCTCAAAGGCACTGCTCGTACACAGCCACATAGACCTAATATTCCTTAGGGCTGCAATGAGCTGGAGAGGTGTCCCTATGCATTAGAGCACCCAAGGAAGATGCACATTCCCCATTCCTTACCCGTACCCTGCACAACCACTACACAATCACTCACTTATTCACTTATACCATTTGTTCTGGTTTTCTACTAGAGACAAATCATTACAAATCTTCTCCAGTATTTGGGATTACTTCTATCAATTATGCCTTCTAGGCCGTGATACCTTGAATCCTGCTTGTTTCACTCCCGCTACCATAAAACCCCTAACCATGACTTTATTTAATACTTTGATGCTGAGTGAAAAGAATCACCCTGATGAAACTACTACTTTGAGTCTCCAGCATAGCCTGCTAGCCCCATGCATGTCATTCCTTGCTTGATTGCTATGCACCTTACTAAAACTAATGTAAAAGAATATGATTGTTACTCATATTCATATATGATTGAGGGAGTTTATTTCAGCCCTATGCATGTCATGCTTGATTGCTATGCATCTTACTAAAACTAATGTAAAGGAATATGATCGTTACTTATATTCATATATGATTGAGGGAGTTTATTTTGGACAAAACAAAAGGGTTTTATTTTGAAATAACAAATAGGTAAGGATCATTTCTGTAATGTATAGAAAACCAAATTTCTCTCTGCTCTTAAACCAACTGCTAAAATTGATTGATTGATTGATTGATTGGATTTCTATCCCACCCATCTAGACCAAAGGTCTACTCTAAAACCTACTGTCACTCCACACAGACTTCATCCCCCTCTCATTCTCACCAACCAATCAGCATTTAACGTCATACATGCACATTTCAGCACCTATCTGTCAATCATCCCAGCACACTTCCCATACATGCAGACCCAACCTGC